GGTCAGTTGAGCGTTTTACTGCATTTTTTCTTTCTACATCGGATACCCGGTAAAAAGCCGGGGAGATACTATATATAATTCATAAATCGTGTTATGGTGTGTTTGTTTGCAGTGAAGAAAAAGAGAGGCAGAAGTCAAAATTACTGTTTATGTCTATAAGACCATGTAATTAAAAACTTAAAGATGTACGTTAGGGAGGATCGAAATACAAAAAATCTGGAAGAACAGAACACATGTTGATTAATTTGTATAATGTGTTTAAATATTGAGAAAACGTCTAAATCGATAGCTGAATGTATTTTATGGATTTAAAACATATTTTTAAGTTATTTCACGAAATAAAAGTTTAACTGTTATACACCAGTTTTATATCAATTCGTTTTTAAGACTTGATAATGCGCCGATAGCTATGGCAATTGAAAAAAAATTAAAACGCTATTCTTTGGGTGTTACTTTACATATCTTCTAGTAACATTTAAGGAATGAAATGGGTGCATTTTGTGGTAGATTTCTTGGACGAAAAATCTTGATATTGTAACATGAAACCCGGTTAAGGATTTTCCACGCTAGATGATTTTTTGGAGAGAAAGTCTTCCGCATCACTGGAAAAAAGCAGACCAACAAACAATATGCACGTACTTTAATTTTCTTAACAAACCGTTTTCTGCAATATTTATCCATATTTCATTTTATTTTTATATATATACCCATATATATACCCCTGGTATTAGTGTTAAATTGTTCTCTCAGTTCTATGTACACTTCAAACTACAGATGTCTTTTAAAATGTTCATCTCCTGATTTATATTTAGTCATAAAAATTAAAATCAAGTCTTATATCTGATTATGATTATATACAGTTGTATATCTACATGTAAATCAATTCTTGAATAGCAGTGTTGCTAGATCCATATATATTATCATAACATATATACATACAGTAGCAGTGTTGCTAGAAATCAACTCTGTACCAACAATGGTGCGCGGGAAATAACTGCGATATGTAGTCAAGCAAACCTGCACACTCCAATACAAAGAACTGAAAATTATTATTGACTAATTAAATTGCGTGATACAAGAACAAAACACAAAACTGTAATTACCCAAATAAATAGTTACATGCGGGCAGTAAAGAAAAAAATATTTACATACAAACATAATACAAAGTATTGCAATAAAATTTGAAATTGTGTTGTTGAAAGTAACATTATAAATTTGTTCTAACATCTTACGGGCCGGTCGGTAAGCAGAGTTTTGATATTTCATCATGTTAATACAGACAAAAAATGTACAAATTTAATCCTTAAGTTCAGATCACCAACACCATTTATAATATATAACAATTTGGACCATAATAAAATGCAGCATTGCACATGTTTGGAAGGATTGAATAAATAAATCAAATATTCATGTCTTACATTATTTTTTTATTTTATCTAAAGTCATTTTGAAGAAAAAAAAAAAAGACACGAAGAAAGGTAGCTTCATAACACTGTACTTTATCGCCATGCTCCAACAAAAGGCGCGCGGTTTTATAACTGCCAGAGCGTAATCTGTGCTCATCGAAATCACATTAAAGTAAGAAGAAAAGGAATCGCCGGTCATTTTGACAAGGCAAAATGTAATAAAAATGAAAAGGCTAAATTATTGTGAAGTCGTTTAAAAATTGATGAACGTAAAATCGATCTCCCGTTTAAGATAATTTTGTGCTCGTAAAACGTGATCTTTGATTCACCCTTGTAAATCTCTGATATTATCGTTGTGTCGGGACTATCGCAAGAACAAAGTGAGACTTCAATGGATTACAGGATTAAATCCGAATTATCTCTGTCTACAGTTGCGGGGAACAGTGCATAGCACGTGTCCTGGCATTGCTGATGGCATTTCAAAAGGAGTTCCAGAAAATAGTGGCTTGCTTGTCGTGCAGACATGAGAACAATTTTCAAAATAATGAAGATTTAACCATGTGAGGGACACGCTCGAGAGACTTGGACTAACGGCCGCGCGGAATACGGGCGGGAGGATAAAAATTCCAAAATCACATACGTGTGTTAATTGTTAAACACGACGGTTACAAGTTTACAAAAAAAATATTTTTTTTTAAAATCTACTACACAGTAAGAATTTACATAATAATCTTATGATCATTCAAAATTTAACACTCATCATGCTGTATAATATAAGTAAGGTCACCCAGACCTTCTCTACATGTATACAGATTTAAAAATGTGTGCAGAAGAGTATTAAAATATAAAGTACTATCATTTTAGATAAAACCAGTATCCAACTACAGATTTTATTTTGACAATGCTTACTGGTTTAAAGAAGTAAATATATAATTCCGTATTTTTGTCTTGATCGATCGTTTCATATTTTAAAAATATTCCTTTTTTATTTTAATTGAACATTAGACATACGCGCCTTTCAAATGAATACATTTTTTAGTTCTTTTTACAAACATTACGTATTCACAAAGATTATCTACCTGCAACGCTCTCTAAGTCAAAGTAAGTATGCAAAGCTAAAAAAACCCAGACGCACCGGAGTTTTTTCTGATGGCCTGTCACTTGCTACTGTTACTGATTCGATCGAGGCTGGGTCTTATATATTTACTCGGTATATCACCTGATAAGCCTATTCGGAATTAATCGAACTCGTGGATTTTGTGGAGCGCACTGTCACCTTCCGTTATTCATCTGTTTTTACTGTGCATTTGTTTGTTGTTTAACGTTTCTGGTGGATGGCTGCAAATTTAAACCTTTACTTGGCATTGGGACTTTACGTGCCACCACCTACTGCGATACAGGACCTTGATTTATACGATCTCTATATCCCGCAATAAATTCGAACTCGGGACGTAAAGATCAGCCTCTTATACTCTGCGTCGCTACAGTACACGCTCTATCCACTGCGCCACACGCTCTATCCACTGCACCACACGCTCTATCCACTGCGCCACACGCTCTATCCACTGCTCCACACACTCTATCCACTGCACCACACATTCTATCCACTGCGTCACACACTTTATCTACTGCAGCACACACTCTCTCCACTGCAGCACACACTCTATCCACTGCACCAAACACCCTATCCACTGCGCCACACGCTGTCTCTACTGCGCCATACGATGTATCCACTGCGCCACACGCTCTATCCACTGCACCACACACTCTATCCACTGCGCCACACACTTTATCTACTGCGCCACATGCTCTATATCTACTGCGCCACACGCTTTATCCACTGCGCCACACACTTTATCTACTGCGCCACACGCTCTCTCTACTGCGCCACACACTCTATGCACTGCACCAGACACTCTATCCACTGCGCCACATGCTATCTCTACTGCGCCACACACTCTATCCACTGCACCACACGCTCTCTCCACTGCGCCACACGCTCTATCTACTGCGCCAAACGCTCTATCCACTGCGCCACACACGCTCTCTCTATACTGCGCCACACACTCTATCTACTGCGCTACACACTCTCTCCACTGAGCCACACGCTCTCTCCACTAAGCCATGCACTCTCTCCATTGCGCCACACTCTATCTACTGCGCCACACTCTCTATCCACTGCACCACACTCTATCTACTGCGTCACACACTCTCTATTCACTGCGCCACGTTCCCTTATCCACTGCACCACACGCTGTATCCACTGCGCCACCTGCTATCTCTACTGCGCCACATACTTTATCCACTGCACCACACGCTCTATCCACTGCACCACACGCTCTATCCACTGCGCCACACACTTTATCTACTGCGCCACACGCTCTCTCCACTGCGCCACACACTCTATCTACTGCGCCACACGCTCTCTCTACTGTGCCACAAAATATTTCCACCGGAAGGAACGAACTTGTTAAGATTACTCGTTTATTTCTTATCTTCTTCATCGGGGGAAAAGAACTTGTTAACTTGAAGGTTACTCGTTTATTTCTTATCGTCTTCTACAAATTTCAAACAACTGGACATGTAACGCTAACCAGGTGGTAGTGATTTACTCTCATGATCGAAAGGCCATGAAGTTGTAGTAGAAGTGGTAGTGATTTACTTCATGATCGAAAGGCCATGAAGTTGTAGTGGAAGTGGTAGTGATTTACTTCATGATCGAAAGGCCATGAAGTTGTAGTGGAAGTGGTAGTGATTAACTTCATGATCGAAAGGCCATGAAGTTGTAGTGGAAGTGGTAGTGATTTACTTCATGATCGAAAGTCCTTTTACTATGTCAGATTTAGTAGACCTATATTAAGGTTAGAAGATACTTCTTCCGTTGACCCTGGATATCAAATCCAGGACAGTGGTTCTTTTAATTCAATATCGAGTCAAATTTATCTGTTTTTATTTCAGATGATATATTTTGTACTATATTATGTGATGAAATGTGAGGACACATTTTTCTCAAATAGAAGGAGAATGTCACAGGGTAAATTATAACTAATTAATTAATATTAACAATTATCATTCATATCATTTTCATATATTTTTAATTATGAAATTGCAGCTTTTAAATAATGATAGTTCAGTGCTTTTGTTGACATTTTGTGTCCCCTGTATTTTCTGCAATTTTTTCTATTTAGAATTCCCGTGGTATCCTTCATGCAAGTTGCAATTGATAGAACAGCCTTTGGAACAGCTTAATCCGGAAAAGAAAATAGTGCACAATTATAACAGATAAAATTAATCAAAGTTTTATTTATTTTTCAATTTCAAATAATATTCTAAATTTTTGCAACAAAGAAATACAAATGAATCGTATATAAAACAGTTTTTTTTTAGATTTGCTTAAAAATAACGGCACACAGTCCCTGTGTTCATACGCCAGACAGGCTTCAAATTGGTGATTAGGTCTTGTAAGTTATGTGTAATGATCACTTGTAATTTTATAATGCTTTTTATTAGGGTCAAACAAAGTAGATGTAAATATTCATAATTGAATTTAAAAAAACATATACAACCCCCTCTATCTGTGTTTATGGTGGGGGGCTAATTCAATGCAGTATATGTAAATATGGAGGAAGTAACTGCTATATCTGCAATGACAAGGAACCAAAAGGAATAAAAGTCAATGGCAGAAGACACGTCGTTCCAGCTTATTTCCTCATCCATTGCCTCCTCCGCCTTTTCTTTGTCCTCCGTAACCGGAAGGTCTATTACCTGCACACGTCCTGAGCATGCGCAGCCCGAGCCCGATCTTTGACCTGCACACCGCAGACGACGCTCCAGCCTTACAAGACCTTGGAACACCTTCCCAATTTTCCTTTCTGACTTCCTGTGGTTAATTCGTAATTGTACTGACGTAATGACGATAATCATGGCGCCAAACAGAAGCTTGATGACGAGGTACATAGCCATGTACGAGACACTGTCAGAATTAACTGGAAGGTTTGAACTGATAATAGTTAGAAACACGACGAAGGTCAGAAAAATCGTGACAGCGTAACCCATTTTTTCTCCGGCATCAGCTGGGATAATGAATACCATTGGACTGAGAATACCCAGAAAGATTATAGGAAGAAACACATTCATGATATAATACAAAGATTTACGCCGGAGATGAATTATAAATGCAATGGTGGGTTCAAAGTTTGAATCTTCATTTACCGCATCTGTTGACGTCACTTCCCATACAGTGTTTTCCACATATTCCTTAAACCCAATCTTATCATCAGCAAAGGTTAGATTTATCTCCCACTGCGTGTAGCTCCACGACTTGAACTGGATTTTACATGTTTGTGAGTCGAATGGATAAAATGAGACATCGAGCTCACACTTGGATTCAAACACCATGTACGGATACCAAGACACCGATCCATCGCTGTCCACGAAAAGATAATAGAAATCGCCACCTAGAGGTTGGAAGGTTGTGAAGCCATTACTCAACACAATGTCTGGTATCCATAAATCTTTCTGAATGAGAACAGAAAATTTACTTTCGATATTCACTATTATGCAGGTAAAGTACTAAGTAGTCTGTAGTTGTAAACCTAGTTGAGTTAGATTTGGGCATTTTTCCATTTAGAGGAAATCAATGAAAGAACTCGTTAATTTCATTTTTAAAGTTCAAACGTTAACGCTATAAGGTTTCAGTTTCTGACCATTTTATACTTAGAACGAAACGTGTACAGGTGACTCTCGATGGCTCGAACTCCGATCTCTCGAAGTTCTCTATCTCTCGAAGTGAACCTCCGGTCCCATTTTTTTCCTCTATATAACTAAGCAAATTTATTATGCATCTCTCATTATGGAAAATTTACACATATATTGAATTTTACTCTCTATCTCTCGAAGTTTTGATTGTGCGTGTTTACACGACAATCAAGCGTAAAATTGATACAGCCTGGATCGACTTACTTGGAAATAGTGAACGCCTTGGACTGGCTAGAGGTGTTAATTGGGTGTTTACATAGATGACACTACACCTGTGGATTGTCCGTGTGTTGATATGATTTTTAATTTGCAAAATATAAAACACACATTTTTTGAAAAATTTATATCAAGTTCCTATAATGTGACTTTCTGAAAAATCTACATAATCTCAGTACGGCAAATATTGAACAAGGACTAAAATAGAGAAAAATCTGGTGAACACTGGTGAAGGACCCGATCAAGCCGCGGAATAGTCAAACCGACAATTGCTATTTGGGTTTTATGTTATCATAAAATAGGAACAAATAAATATTCAAACTGTAGGAATGCATTTTATTTATTCGAATCGAAATACGATCATTGTTGTTGATATCAAGTAAATTACCTGTAAAATACGATTGAAAACTTAATGTCTTTATTTCATATTTCGTATCTATAAAATTTTAAATGTCGGATTTTAAATAAAGTCGGTCCCACTCGAGAGATGGTCACCTGCAGTAAAAATTTTCATTTTGGAAAATTTATAATAAAATTTCGTTCATTTTTAATTTGCAAAATATAAAACACACAGAAATTATATCAGAATCCTAAAAAATCTTGGAAAACAGCTTTGCAGAAATTGTATATCAATATTTTTCGCAAATTTGCATAAAACACTTGGTGCTTTCATTTAAAACTACCTTGGAAAACAGCAAAAAATTTTTAAAATTTGCAGAAAACATGCGTATTTAACTACCTTCAGCAAAGAATTAAAATATGAAACATAAAACATGTTTTTTGATCTCCAGAAACAGAGCTTTCATTATGTATTTGCACATTTTGGATCAGAGGTTGTGCTCAATATGAAATATTTAAAAAATGCTACAACTTTAGGTCCTTTTCAAATGAATTTACAGAATAGGAGGAAAATGACGCATTTTATGACGTCATAATGCATTCGCGAGACGGAAAATTACGTCAGGATTATTAGAAACATAGGCACCAACACTCCAAGTGATAAGTACTGCATTTGCAACCTAAACTGAGCAGTTTTGATTTTTCGGAAATTCTCAAGGCCAAATAAGGCCCAACATAGCTCTTGCTCTTTAATTGTAAAAAATAACAAACAAAATAAAAACTGTACTAATCTAACCCCTTTTCGCAAAATTTCCAACACGCCAAAAAAAAAACCCCGGATATACGGTATGTCTATAGAATATGTTTTTATTTAGACTTCTTTACTTAACCTGAGAAACTTACCTGACTAAAATGCATCCAAAAAATCCCTGTCTCCGTTGAATTCCACGTCAACATGGCGTCCGTCCACGTGACTTCAAGGTATGCTGTGGTAACCATTTTCTGGGCGACATCGTTGACGTCATTAATACCAGCTAACCACATGCTGACTTGTATGGGGAGGCTCTTACTCTGATCCCAGATAGGTCTGATCTTGCTGGAGTAGTTAGCCAGTAATCTGTTGGTCAGGGCTTGGTAGTCCTCTATCGTGGGAGAGAGGTGAGTACAGTGTACCGTCAATATCACGGTGGAGAGTAGAAGAAAAACTGTGGCCATTTTCTTTCCAGTGTTAAAACACATGGCCCTGGTGATGTGTTCACTGCATAAAATCATTTAAACATCCGTATTTATACCTGCTCTAATTACATCGTAATTAAAACCTTCATATATTTTTTTTTCTCGGAAGGAGTTTCATTGTTTCGTCTCTAAAATGTACTCTTATATTAAATAAACACTTATTCACTAATTTACAAATTTATCGAGCTCCTGAATCAACCAATACAAATCAAATTCATTAAATGTACTTGTCCGCTGTTAATTGCTTATGTTTACGCTCGGAGCTTACAAATGGTCTGATGGACACAAAGAAGAAAGCTGCTGGTGGTTAGGCCTAAATAACAGGAGTGCCTGTGAACTTTTTAAAAATTGTCAAATAAAACTAAAATGTATGTCTTGTTTTTAATATCAACAGAGTTCAGTCATAAAATAAAACAACATTAAATTGCTCTGATTTTTTATTGTATAATTAACAGAATGGCTTAACTTACAAGTTCAATATATTATAGTGATTGTTGAATGAATGACAAGAGCATGTGCCAAAAAATAGATAATGATGAAAATAAACACAATCAACATATTAAACAAGTTCTAATTGTTACGTGGACCATTACAGACGTTCCACAAACGGGAGTATACACCAAAATGGTATTCAAATCAATTTCACAGTTGGTTCAGTAGAAAAACACAGCGAATGTAAATGTTCTCGAATAAACAGTGAAATATTATACAATTGTGGACTTCAGTGTAGGTCGATATGTGGTTAGAAGGCCTCGCAGGCTCGGTCCCTATCACTTTCTGTGTCCTCGGTCAATATCAATTGCTATGAGTCCCTTTAACCACGTATTCACCGTTCACTGAAGTCTATAATAGTTATTTTATATAATCATAAGTGAATACACTGACACAGTTGTAACTAATCAGACTTGGCTGTCATTACGTCACAAGGGCGTGTCGTGCGATATCATTTTCCGCCGACGCACTTAAATCGCGTCGATATCATAAAAGGAGGAATATCACGTCCTTTTGGCAAATGAAAATTACGAAAATAATCCTCTTATATAATATTTCATTTTAATTTACCTCAACAGACAAGGTATCATTTGAGAAAAATAAAAGATGAATTTTGACTTTTGTCAAATGGTTAAATTGCACAACAATGCTTAAAAAGTTGAAAAGTTACAACAATGAGGTGTAAATCGGACCTGGCTTTCTTCAACGTCCAACAATATTACAAAAAATTAAAAATCATCGAAAATTTCAAAATCCATTATTAACATTGAAGTTAACATTAAAACGCTCTGCTCTTCTACACTTTAAACAACCATTTCGCACGAGGAATTACTAGCAATAACATTGATGGAAAGTCGTAATATGTAGACGTGTTGTATATGTGGAATAATTGAAACAACGAGACAATTCAATTGGAATAATTCGCTATCAAGACTCTAAAAATCTTAAAGATAAAATAATTTGTGTTATAATGGTTGTTAATTATCGCAGGTAGACAAGAATCCTACTGTGTGAACATAATTATACAGTAAATAAACAAAATCTATATAAAAATTATTTAGTTTGGGTCACGCCTCCATAGAAATGGAGGATGGTAGCTGCATTTTCACACAGAATTCCTCATAGACCGCCAACTGCTTAATTACTGCCTACTGCTCATAGATGAATTACCTGTTTTGTATAATTTTCCATTTGTATTGTATAATTTTCCATTTGTATTGTCTAATTTATCATTTGTTTTGTATAATTTTTCATTTGTTTTGTTTAATTTTTCATTCGTATTGTATATTTTTTATTTGCATTGTATACATGTCCATTTGCATTCTATAATTTTCCATTTGCATTGTAAAAATCATTTGGATTGTATAAATTTTCATTTGCTTCATCTATCTTCCATTTACATTATGTAATTTCTTGTTTGAATTTGTATAATTTCTTATTTGTATTGTGTAATTTTTCATCTTTATAGTATCCGAGTGATTGTTTCTTTTTTTTCCCGTTACGAAGGATTTCATTGGTTTTCGCAATTGTTTTGTCATTTTTTGTAGTAAAGAGTTCAAAGCAGTAAGTTAACTTAGCCCCCTCCACATGTATTTCCTTGGAGGCTAAGGAACCTCTCTGGGCTGGGGAGGGGGTTGGAGAAAAGGAGAAAATCTGACCAACCCGGAAAACGTAATGACATGACTTCTGAGGGGGGTTGGCTGAGGTACTACCAGTCAAATTCAAATTATTTATTTTTCTCAGACAACATTTCTAATGACAATATTATTAAATTGACAATTCAACAATCCCACCTCATATATACCACATATAAAAATATATATAAATGTACACAAATATATGATAAGGATTCCGGTTTGCTTTTCAAGAGCACCCGGAACGTTAACATCTCGCTCATTTTCTACACGATTTAGGCTAAATCTTGACCAATGAAATCCTACATACCGTTATAACATGTATAAATTAAATATCATCATATACGTTATATAAATGAAAGAAAAATCGATTACAGTACGAATGAAAAAATGTACTATACAAATGGAAAATTAAGGAATACAAATAAAAATCATAGAATACATTAAATGAAAAATAATACAATACAAATGGAAAGTTATATAATATAAATATAAACAATACATACAAATAGAAAAGATACAGAAACGTCTGACATGCCATGCATAGTATAATTTCTTTGTTTGCATTGTAATTTTTTATTTGCTTTTGATAATATTTTCATTTATATTGTATCCGAGGATTGTTCATTTATTTATTACGAAGAACTTCATTGGTCAAGATTTAGCTCATTGACTCAAGCCACGATTCAGTGTTCGCAATAGCTGTCTCCCAGTATTAGAGATAATCGTAAATATTGGCCCTGGTCTGCGACAATTTGCAAGATGTTCTGTGTGCTCTTGAAAAGCAAACTGGGTTCCTATATTAGACGACAGCAATTTAGGTAAAAAGATTGCGAATAAATAATCTGTCCTTGAAAATGAGAAAATATTGCAAATAAATAATCTGTACTTTAAAAATGAGATGATAATTATCTGATCCCCCTGAAGAAATAGAGTTTTGGGGTTTTTGGTACATTGTCTTTTTCATTCTTGTATCTGGTCTGTTCTTGTAGGACATAAATATGCTCTCCTGCAAGAGCATGGAAATGAATAGAACTTAAGCTCACCGTATTCAACGTTCTTCAATGGGATTTGAACCTGCGATATAAAATTAGCCACTCCAAAGCAAAATGCTTTAGAACCACTGCAATTCTCATGGCCCTCAAAAAAGTATATTGAATGTCTATAAGCACTGGAGGCTGATGGAAGGTTTGAAAAATATACTCGGATGTCTGGTGTTTGCGTACTTGAGAATCTTTTTTATTTATATATGTAATTTTCCATTAAATTTTAGAATGTATTTTCAAATGTGCTGTCTGAAAAAAAAATGTTTACCTACCTACCAAACCAGCTTGAGAATTTAGGTACGGGTTAGGGGAAACAAAGATATTTCTGATTCTGACCTTATCTTTAATACATGTATTTTATATTCTTCTTCAAACTTCAAACAACCAGACATGTAAAGGAAGCCTAGCTAGTGGTATGGTTTTACTTTATGATCGGAAGACCAAGATTCGATTCCAGTTCGCTGCACTGCGTTAAACCTAGGATGACATGGCAATATATTTTGGTTTATTTAAAAATAAATATTTTGAGTGATTAAAGGATAAAAGTTATAAGCATTGCATTTTTATTCATTATTGATATACTCCCTCTATCTGTGTAAATGGGGGGGGGCTAATTCAGTGCAGTATATGTAAATATGGAGGAAGTAACTGCTATATCTGCAATGACAAGGAACCAAAAGGAATAAAAGTCAATGGCAGAAGACACGTCGTTCCAGCTTATATCCTCCTCCATTGCCTCCTCCGCCTTTCCTTTGTCCTCCATAACCGGGAGGTCGATTCCCTGCACACGTCCTGAGCATGCGCAGCCAGAGCCTGATCTTTGACCTGCACACCGCAGACGACGCTCCAGCCTTACCAGACCTTGGAACACCTTCCCGATTTCCCTTTCTGACTTCCTGTGATTGATTCGTAATTGTACTGACGTAATGACGATAATGATGGCGCCAAACATAAGCTTGATGACGAGGTACATAGCCATGTACGAGACACTGTCAGAATTAACTGGAAGGTTCGAACTGACAATAGTTAAAAACACGACGAATGTCAGAAATATCGTGACAGCGTAACCCATTTTTTCTCCGGCATCAGCCGGGATAATGAATACCATGGGACTGAGAATACCCAGAAAGATTATAGGAAGAAACACATTCATGATATAATACAAAGATTTACGCCGGAGATGAATTATAAATGCAATGGTGGGTTCACTGTCTGAATCTTCATTTACTGCATCTGTTGACGTCAGTTCCCATACAGTGTTTTCCACAAATTCGGTAAAGCCAATCTTATCTCCAGCAATGGTAAGATTTACCTCCCACTGACTATAGCTCCAGGTCTTGAACTGTATTTTACATGTTTGTGAGTCAAAGGGATAAAACGAGACATCGAGTTTACACTTGGATTCAAACACCATGTACGGATACCAAGACACCGATCCATCGCTGTCCACGTAAAGATAATAGAAATCACCACCCAGAGGTTTGAAAGCCGTGAAGCCATTACTCAACACCAGGTCTGGTATCCATAAATCTTTCTGAAAGAGAACATAAAATTTTGATATTCAATATTATGCAGATAAACAAGTCTGTAGTTCTACACCTAGGTGAGTTAGTGTTGTAGTTCTACACCTAGGTGAGTTAGTGTTGTAGTTCTACACCTAGGTGAGTTAGTGTTGGCGCATTTTTTTTATTTAGAGGAAATCGATGAAAGAACTCGTGAATTTCAGTTTCAACGTCCAAGCGCTATAGAATTTCAGTTTTTGATCATTATTTAGAACAAAACATGCATATTTATTCTAGTAAAATCA